GCGCCGGCGCCGCGCGCTGCCACAGACACCTGGGTGCAAACCAAGGCTTCTCCGGCAGGTGCTGCCGGAATGAGCAGAGCTCTTCCCACAAAGAGCCTGCAGTGCTGGCCCAGGTGCCCTCGCAGCATGAAGGAGCAGCTCCGAGCAGCGCAGCGCGAACCAAGGGTGCCGAGCCCCAGGCCTTGGGCTGGGTTCTCCCACAGACCTGCCCGGGACAGGCCTGGCAGCCACAGCTGCTGGCTGGCTCCACACAAGGACAGGTCCCCAACGTATATAAATGTGTAAGTGTATTTTCTCAGCCTTCAACCAAAAGGAAGTAAAGAAACAGAAACCCCTCCTCCAAGTCTGGTTGTTTCTCCTTTTCTCGGCCTCGCTGCTTACCACAGGTGCCATGTCCCGATTCCACAGGGTGATTTTGGTCCATGACGTGTTGAGGATGAGGGATGTCAGATGTTCTCCCAGCCCAGTAATGAAAGGAGACAGCAAGGAAGTGGAGATCTGCAGGAACTGGTCTGCGAAGAGCAGGGGTGCCACGGTGGTGTTCAACCTGCCGAAGGAACGGAGGCTCCCAGGAAAGAGCCAAGCACAGCGGAGAGGGCAGCGCAGCAGGGCCACAGCTCTGGGAAGCAGCAGAAACCGCCCAAACCAGGTGCCTCAGTCACAGCATGGAAAAAACCTTGAGATGAGCTCTGGGAGACCTGCCTGCCTCCCCCACGAGACGCTGCAGCGCTGAGCTGTGGCTTTGGCAAGAGCAAAGCCAGAAACTCGCAGCAGCCGAGTGCTGCTCCTGCTGTGACCTGTGCCAGGTCCCCATTCCAGGCAAAATCCCTTGGGAGCAGCTTCCTCAGGGCACAGGAGGGAGGAAGAGGTGGGGGGCTAGTGCTGCCCTTTCTTGTGGGGCAGTGCCAGCCCAGAGCAGACCCAAGGAGCTGGACAGCACATGGGGGAGCATCAGGGAAGCTCCAGGTAGGGGAGCTTTCGGCAAGGGGCCAGGGGAGCGCCAGCCACGCAGGGCACTTACAGCACCGTCCCTGTGGCCTCCCGGTAGACGACGATCCCGAAGGGATCCTCGCTGAACTGCAGCCCGTAGAGCGTGGCGGTGGCGCGGGCACCCGCGCGCGGCGTCTCCAGCGGCACCTCGTAGCGCCGGCGGGCCGGATCACGGAGCTGCCGGGCAGAGCGGGGTCAGGCTGGGCCGGGGCACCAGGCGCGGGGGTGCGGGACACCCACCGTGAA